TTTATTGCTGTTCCCATGACAAGAGTATCTTCTAGATATTCTTTTTAGTAGGTCATTGAATCTCTTTTACTTTATGGAGCAGTAAGAAATGCATGAAGGAATTTGAATTTCAGGAGGCTGTCTTGCATTTATATCTGAGCATTGGCATTTAGAGTCTATAAAATAAATTGTCAGTGAATGTTTTATTTACCTGTTAGACTCTCAGCTAGATCATCAAGTAGTGCTTTGCCAGATATATCGGGATGCACTTGATGGTACAGAAATGGAGGGTAAAGCATTTAATCAAAAATATTTGTGTGCTGATCTCATGAGGATTTTAATGTCAGATAAAATACCTGTACATATAACATAGAAGTAAAAATTACTTGAGAAGGAAAACTGGCTCACTATCATAGATATCCTTTGTCTCTATGAGCAAGAGAGTCATCATTTATTGAAATGTATTTTAGATTTAGAATTGTTATACTGCCTCCTCTGTCTAAATTGCCAAGTTTTTTGATAAAGCTGGCAGCGTGAGTGACAGCTGCAAACCCCAGGTTAGACTGCGGAGTTGGTTTCTCTCTGGCTTTCTCTCCTTTTAAGCCTCCCTTTCATGTGGAGCCAAGTGAAATGTAAGCTGTGCAGCTCCTCAGGGGCCGTGGCCTGATGAGAGGACGCAGAAGAAAGGCGGCCGTTCGGAAAGCCCGCCAAAGGCGCTGAGGGCAAAGGGCCGGGGTGCTGACATGACTCCCCGACCTTTCTAAGGAGATGAATGAGAAGGCAGTGCCTCCGTGAGCTCTGGGTGTATTTCACCCACAAGAGTAGTCCTAGGCTATCCAGCCAATTGTTCTGACTTTATCCTTCAGATGTTGCAGAAGAAAAATACATTCTTTTATTGTTCTTCCAAGTCGTTAACCGTTTAGCCTTAATCATCTGCAGTCTGTGTGGGAATAGGTCTTTTAAAGATCACTGAACTTGGCTTGATTTGAAATCAGAGTAGAATTCATTTCATTTAATGTGGGAAACCTTCTTTTGAGAAATTTGACACAAACTGGCTTCTTAGCCTCTTTGAATTGAAAAAGAACACCATAGAAAAACACAGCCAGATGCACAAATGTCTGCTCCTGGGTTAGATTGCCATAAGCTTTATGACTCTTTCTCTGCGGTTATTGGTCATTGAAATAACCTTAGCAAGTCAGTGTGAATGAATGCATTCCAGGTTGCAGTCACAGAGATGTAACTAGGCTAACCAGAATGGGTACCCCTGTGATAAGTTTTATCCTTGCTGCTCATTGTGATAAGCATGATTGATGATTTTAGGAACACTTAATAGATTTTTGTGCAGTGGAAACGTTAATAAGTCCGTGAGGCCACTGGTGTGTAGAAGTGATCTGTGAAGGAATAAATTCCTTCAGTTCCCACATCAGTGTATCACCAAAGAACCACACTGTGTTTAGTTTGGAATGTTACAGATCTCCTCAAGGAGCAGTTCAGAATGGTTTCTAAGAGTGCTCACTCAGAATCTCGGTGCATGGATTTGACTGGCATGGATTTGGGCAGAGTAGGCCAAAAAGAGCTAATTGAGGTGGGGGGGGGGAATTCGAGAGAACAGGCCGTAATGGTGAATAGAGTTATTTGTCACCAAGTTTGTAATAGGATTTTCAATTAATTCATGCAGGCATCCAGTGCCTTACATTAGCCCTGTCAAGATGAACTACAGCCACATCTAAAACGCCATCCCCTATTAAACGGTGCATGTCTGTGAATTTGTAATTTCTTCTGTTCAACCAGAAGATGAATGGATTCCACTCAGAAAACAAATGTGGGCTTCAGAAGTGCACGTTTCGAAACCCCGAACACTTCCTAGGAGGAGCATTCTTTGCATTGTTCTACAGTGAATATGTATTAAAATGTAATTGCTATGTGAATTCGTCCAAAAAGAAAGGCGTCCAGCTGCATGGAGACAAATGCATTTTCAGGTGCTGTGTTTCCCTGGTGAACAGGCTTTTCATTCTGGGTGATGATGATGATGATGATGATAGTTCACGCTTGTAGCACTTGCTGCCTGCTGGGCCATTTGTAGTGGTTTTCATACATTCATTCACTGAATCCTCACGACAACCCAGATGAAGAAAATGAGGCGCAGAAAGGTCAAGCTGCTCAAGATCACACAGCTTGTAAGTGGCTGAGCTGGGATTCAAACCCAGGCATTTGGCTCTGGAGTTTGGGCTCCCAAAAGGTGCCCTTTGCTGTCTGATCATGGTCCCATCAGCTGTGTTCCAAGAATTCATTTACTGCAGTCGTTGTCAGTGCTCTGTCTCTGGCTCGATCACTCTTGCTCTCTCCCTTATAGTAATATCTTTTAAAATATATTTTTATTGGTTTTGGAGAGGTTAGGGAAAGGGGGAGAGAGAAATAAACATCAGTGATGAGAGAGAATCATTGATAGGCTGCCTCCTGCACACCCCGCACTGGGGATCGAGCCCGCAGCCCGGGCATGTGCCCTGACCAGGAATTGAACCTGGTTCAATAGGTTGACGCTCAACTACTGAGCCATGCTGGCTGGGCTCTCACCATCATATTTATTGCTGTGTTTATTTACTGTTATTTCCTCAAACCTGACTTGGGAAGCACTGTTAGTTGTGTGGTAACCAGACTTCGAGAAAGACATAGTAAAGAAGAGAGTGGAGGGAGGTCTCTCCGGGAGAGTAGACAGAGATTAGAATCCTTCCATAAGGTTGGACCTTGAATGGAATGTGACCCAAGTTCACAGGATTGTGAAGCACCCGAGTTCCTGATGGGCATTTCCCTTCTGGAGAAGCCAAAGGGGCCGCAGGGTTGTTTGCAAGATTAGGTCAAGGATGGGCAGCAGGCGTCAGGCCATTCCGGGCAGGATCTTAAGGCAGGGCCCCAAAGTCAGAGGGGTACATGAGGGTCCCAGGACTTCTGGAAGGCTCAACCCCTGTCTTCCGGAGTATTGGCCTCCAGAGCAGCTCTCATTAACCAAACACAACATCCTACAGGCCAAGCCAAGACAAGACGCCTGCCAATAGCATGTTGAGATCCAAGAATTGGCTGGTCTCCTTCAGCCAAACAAAATTAACAAAAAAAGTTTGGCTTTTATAAGTAAGTCAGACTCTAAATCTCTGACTAGAAACCAAACTGTTTTTTTTAACTATATTATGAAGTTTTGTTGCCATCCAGGGTGTAGCACTCTCATCTGTTTTTTTTTGTGGGGGCGGGGGCTAGGGAGAGGGTAGCAACATGAGTAATCCTCCCTCTTGCTCTACTTGTTAGAAAGAGGAAACCTAAAAACTATTTCAACTAGTCGAGGCCTGTGCTTTGCACAGAGCTGTCTGCCTGCCAGCCCACTTCCTGTCCGCTTCCCATCCTGCTGCCAGACTCATCTGCCTGGCACACAGCTCTTCTCATGGCTGGCCGTGCCTGCAGCCTGGGAGTGGCTTGTCACTGCCTGAGGGACATGGCAATGGAAGCTCTTTCACATGTCACTCAAGACTCTCCACAATCGAGCCTCTGCCCACCTCTCCCAACTTGATATTCCACAGTCCCTTTCCGGGAACACCACGTTCTGTAAAACCCCGTGTTCTGTATAAAACCCCACTCCCGCTGCACAGCACGCTCCATGTCTTTGCTGGGGTTGTGTTCTCTGCCTGCAATGCCCTCACTCGTCTTTCGTTCTTCCACTCCAGCTTTGCCTGGCTGACTCCTCTGTATCCTTTAATTGGCTCAGGTGTCACTTCCTCCAGGAAGTGTTTCACTTTTCACCCACCACCGACCTGTGCTTTCTGCACCTCTGTCATATCTCTGTTGTTGAATTCCGTATCCTAGCATAACTCTATCATTGCACTCACTACCCTGTATTATAATTCTATCTAATATCTTGTCCTTTAAGGATAAGAACTGAGCCCTATTCCTCTTTCAGTTCTCAGCACTAGCGTGTTGCCTGCGATACATGTTTTCTGGATGAATGAATAAATTAATACGTACGTGAAAAGCAGGAGCCCAGGAATCTCATTCGGTGAATTACGATATACATGTTTGATTTGCCATTTAGTCTTTAAATCAGTGATAGGCAGAAGTGTCCCAGATAGGCCAGAGCTCTTCTTAAAGTGACAGCTAATGCTCAAGAATGGGCACCTCCAATGCCATTGGGAAATATCACATTTAACCCATTTGATGATTAGGTTGCCTTGGCGCGCACACACATGACATTTTTAAACCTGTCATTTAAAATCAGAATGCAATTAATAACATTTATAACCTCAACTATTAGCATATCAACCCAGTGGTACTCTGTAACCAGGAAAGCGCCAAGTTGAAGGATCTTATGCAGATTGTGAAAGACTGTATGTCTGTGTGATCACAGATGATAAATTCTGAGAGGGCAGCAGCTGTGGCTTTCTGACTCACTGTTGTATTCCAGGCCCTGGCACACAGTAGGCCCTCAATAAATACCAGCGTTCATGAGACAATAGGTCCTACTATCCACATTAAAAGCAGTTGGGAGAGTTTTGCCCAAAGCCAAACTCTGATTCTTAACCACCAAGTTTCCGAGCAGTCAGTAAGTGAATGAATTGTGCTTCTGTTTAATTTTTTCTTCTCAGTGCTTATCATTTATCCTGCTGAATAAGGTAGTTACTATCAGGCAATAAGTTGTTGTTTTTTTAATGAGTTTATGAATTTTATACCAGGGAGCCAGACTCAGCAGTTGTATTTCCATGTATCAAATAAATACTCCAAACATACCCCACAAAATGAGACTTAGGAGCAGAAGGCTAAATCCCAGGGGGTGTGCATGGGTGGTCGACTCTTCTTATTTCACTGTGACATATGTTTGTTTGTTATTTTTTTGGTGAGACACATGTATAATTTTTTTATGTGAGATTTTCTTCCGAGGGCAACATGTTGGTTTGACCTTGGCTTGAAAAGCATGATAACACAGTTAAATTATCAGACACGTTGAGGATGTTTTTCCATTAAAACTCATCTCTTTCTTTAAGGGTATACCTCAGTTACCATGTGCCAAAGCATTATACAACTACGAAGGGAAAGAGCCTGGAGACCTTAAATTCAGCAAAGGTGACATCATCATTCTGCGGCGACAAGTGGATGAAAATTGGTACCACGGGGAAGTCAACGGGATCCATGGATTTTTCCCCACCAACTTTGTGCAGATTATCAAACCGTTACCTCAGCCCCCACCTCAGTGCAAAGCACTTTACGACTTTGAGGTGAAAGACAAGGAAGCAGACAAAGATTGCCTCCCATTTGCAAAGGTAATGTCAGGGTGGGGTTGTTTTCCATTTGCCAATTAGTCCCCTGTACCTGGATACACAGCAATAGGGCTCGTATTTCATTTTGCAAAAAAAAAGGTAAAATAGTGTTATGTGAACTGTATCACTGTGCTTTTAAAAACACCTGGAAGCAGTCTTCTTAAAGTCACACACAAAGGAATTCTGTGCTTGGGTTGTTGTATATGAAAGGTAATTTTGGTTGATGCTCTGTGTGGTATCATTTTCATATTTAGAGCCTAAATTTAATTCTAGGTTGCTATACAGGGTATGTATGCCACCAGGGATTTTAATTCACCAAATTATGAATAACAAAATGAAACAGCATTACTTCCTTATTTTCTATGTAAATTTCTTTGCTGGAAAGCACGTAGGAATATATCAACTGAATTGATAATCCCTGTGTGCTTTGGAATTTTAAGTAGGATATTGTGTTTTGTGTAAAGAAAAACAGTGGGATATGCATTTAAATGGGCATTTGTGTATTATCAGAGAGAAAGTGACAAGAGCCTGAGAATCCATCTAAAACATGGGTTCAAGGGGCTGGGTAGCACTAGAGGTTGCAATCTGTGGATCTAAACAAAGTGAGCAACCAGCCCCTGGTTAGAAGGGGTTCTAGTTTAACAGCTTTCAGAAAGGGCACCAGGTTGACTGAAAGTTACTATTGAGTTCATCAAAACATTGGATTCATGTACTAAAGGCATGTCACAGGGTTTTTATTCATGTATTCTTAGAACTTTAGTCCCTTTATTGAAAAGATAAATTGAGTGACAAGCTTGATGGGTCAGGTAGACTAATGTTTATTGTTTCTTTAGGATGATGTTCTGACTGTGATCCGCAGAGTGGATGAAAACTGGGCTGAAGGAATGCTGGCAGACAAAATAGGAATATTTCCAATTTCATATGTCGAGGTAAGTTCATCTGTAGACATGTATATCATGTTTGTAGTTAGCTTAGCAAATAAATCTTAATCAAGCCACTGGAGTATTAAGAAGTCCTAATAATCATTTTGCAATATAGACATATATTAAATCGTTGTGTTGCATACCTGAAAAAATACAGTGTTGTATGCTAATTTTATATCAGTAAAACTTTGATTGGGGGAGACAAAAACTTAGTCTTTTTAAAAAAAATAATGTCCTCGTCCTGGCAGGGTGGCTCAGTTGGTAGGAGTATCATCCTGTACACCAAAAGGTTTTAGGTTTAATTCCTGGTTAGGACACATACCTAGGTTGTGGGTTTGATCCCCAGAAGGGGTCAGTATGGCAACTGATTGATGTTTCTCTCTTTCTTCCGCCCTCACTAAGATCAATAGAAACATCCTTGGGTGAGGATTAAAATAATAATAATGTCCTCACAACACAGAGCACTGGGAATGCCCTGTTCCAGATCACTGGATGGATTAGGAAGAATTCCTCCCTCCTGTACTACAATAACAGGAGATTATGAGACTGAAATATTTGACACCCTTCACTTTGTGCCCCTGCTGAAAGCATCCTGTGTCTTGTGAAACCTCACTGTGTGCTTCCTATGCTGTTTCCAGGTGTTCTATCCCCTTTGCCAGCTTCTGGTTCGGAGGGTTGATAAAGTTCCCGAGTAAGGTGGAAGATGAATGTATCTGGTTATTTGTTTACCTTTCTTATCTGCCACATCATCGGAATGAGAATAGTGATTTTCAGAATAGGCCTCCAGTAAACTTCAAGTGAATGAATGAATTTCTCTTCCATCCCAGGAGCAGCTTTTCCCGTCGCCCCCCTTTTTAATCAGCCTTATTCGGAAAGGTTATTATGGCCAATCTGATGAAGTGAAGTCTTTTTAGAGAATATGTCTAAAATCACATGGTTGCATTATTTTAAGGAATAACACGAATTAAAAATGAACCAGGAAGTTGCAATTTACAGTAAGCCTTCATTACATGATGTACACTGTCGTGTCCTTTAGGCGAAATAATTTTTTGCTGAAAACAAAATTGAAGGCAGCCTCAAAGAATGAAACACAGCCCAACCAACGACACAAAGTTAGCTGAGGTCACAGAAGGCTTCTGGAAGAGTGAGTTCTTAGTGGGTATCTGTGTGATGGATAAAAGGGGGTTAACCAAGAGAAATGGGAAAGATGAATTTTTATGGCAGGAAGAACATTCATGCAGGCAGACGAGCATGTGCAAAAGCCAAAAAGTAAGAGCACTGATTGCTTAGGGAACTGAATGTGATTCTGTTATTTAAGATATCAAAGCATATAAAAAAGAAAAACCACTATCACTTGTTTTCCCATCTTTTTATCTGAGGCATGTGTTTTGGCATGATTCTCAAAGCTAAGATGACACTCAGTTTCCCCCACAGATAGTGTGATATTGCCAAAGTTCCCATGAAAAATCAGTTGGAAAAGTAATTCAGACCATCTACGAGCCTTGAACTTGATCCATACCCTTCAGATAGTCTTGTTTATTGAAATACTTTTTTTCCTCCTTTGAAAGTAAACACCAAAAACAATTCTTAACACTACGGTGTCGGGTGAATTTCCCGCCAAAATATAAGATGGCGCGGGCAATTATTTAGGTTTCCCGCGCAAAATCAGATAAAATGAGAAAACAATACATTGGTACCCTAACGGTATTGTACTCGACCAGCGCCATAAAGTGTTCTCTACTTACAAGGGATTTTTATGATACCTATTACCCCAATGGGTATGAAACGGTTCGCATACACAGGTAGGTATCTTTGTGAACGGCAAACAAACAAATATTTGTTAATACGCAGTTACAATCGGCCCGAGTTTACACGTTTCCCGCACTCCACCGCAAATCTATATGAACCGAGTTAAGACGGCTCCCGCGGAGTACGCGCAATTCACGCGAGCCGACTTAACTCGTTTCCCGCAATCCAAGTGTTAACTGTCAGTCATTCCTTCCTGTATATTATTTATATATTCTGACTCTGGGTCATGGAAAATGACAACGATTTCCAAGAATTCGAATAGTTACACTGAAGAGCATGGGTAAGCACAAGTTCGCAATGAAAGCCTGTCTTTACTTGTTAGGTATTATCAGTATTGCATGCCAGTGCTTGGTGTGTGATGCAGGAGAAAGGATTGCTATGCTTTTGTTATTGGACGGGTGTAGAATTGCTCAGAGAGGCATCAAGATCCACCCAGGGGAAGTCCAGAGTCACTCGAGTCATTGGATTATTTATATTTACTCTGTCTTAAGTTGGAAAGAGAAACTGCTGCCCGAGTGGAAAGGATTTTCATTCTTTTCTTCTGCCTCTTTTCTTTCAAATGAGAGTTTTCCCTCATTTGAACCAGAATTTTGCCAGTTGAGACCAAGTAAACAAATCATCCATCTCTCGGAGACTCTGGCTGTTTCTTTGATGTCAGGCCATCAGATGGAAGTTTCTGGTGGGGAGGGAAGCATGTGCGGATGAGTGACACCTGGCTTAGCCTTTTTGCTAATACAGGGGAGAACCTTTCAATAGCGACCTACTGAAATTCAACCATTTCAGTAAAGTTGAGACGGTCTTACGAGGCAGTCTCAGAGCTAAGCCAACTCTAGGAATCAAACTTGGGGCTTTTTTCTGAATAATGCTTTTTCTTTTGCTCTGTAAACCACTTCAGGGCCCAGACCATTCCCAGTATAAAAACAGGCTATGTTAGAAAAATTCATTTGTGAATTATTTTCTTTAGATCTTGTAAACATACATTTAAGTCTCCATCAGGATTAGCTACTTTTGCTTTTTTCACTGTGCTGCCAAACACTGATACCCCCCCCCCCCCACCTCCCACCAGATGTTTTGAGAAGATCAAATGAGATAATATATCTCAAAGGGTCTGGCACTGCTATGTCTTATGCACAGTGGTTTGGAGCTCAGATTAGACTGTGACTCAGAGTATGCCAGAGTGTAGTCATGATCAAATAAAAGACTCTCACCACCACGTATAATGAGGGAAATGAGTTCAGAACTGAATTCCGAGTTTCCAAAGGAATGTCTTCATTTGCCATAGGCTTGTCAGCAGAAGCTGGAACCTCCCCCACCACCCCAGTTCCTCAGTTGGCTTTGGTAATGGAAAGGCCCAAGGAACTTTCCTGTGTCAAAAACTAAACAGGATGGGCCTGGGGGTAGGATTCTGGACCTGGAGTAGGTTCAGCTGTGGGATTAAGGGGTGGGGAGATTTGAAAGGAGCTAAGCATTAGAGATAGGTAAAGAGAGAATTGGGTGGGAGGACTGAGATAGTGGGAAACATTCCTAGACTAGTTGGCCCTCCCTTCTTATCTTCAACTGTCTTTTCTCTCTTCTCCCTCAAGTGTGAACTGTGGTCTCTACCTGTGTTAGGATAGGTAATAGGTGGTAGTGATAGCATGAGTTGCAAACAGATGGCCTATTATTGAAGTACAGAATTCTTTAAGAGAAACTTGGTTGGGGGCATTGGGTAGGGGCAAGAATGGCTGTATAAATGGCTTCGCATTCTGTCCCTGGGAGCCTTTGTTTAAATTCTTAAGATAGTGTTCTCTTGCTGTTATCACATCCTCCCTTCCCTCCTGGAAACCTGTGCCTCAGACCTCTCTCCACTCAAGTCCCAGAGGTTGTGGATTCCAGTCTGTTTAGACTGGACCTTCCTAGATTTGAGTAGGTTGGAAATGGTGAGGGGTAAGAGTTTCTTGGGGAAACCCAGGGAATTTTTGAAGACACCCTGCCAGGATATGTATAAGAAAGTATATTTGTCAAGAACTGAATACAGTTTTTTAAAAAAGAATTTAGTATCTTGCTTCTTTCTTTGTTTAAAAATACTAGTGTTCTACCAAATAGAATAGAAAGATTTTAACACCCTCATTAATTTGGAGCTGACTCATGCAAGGTTAGCAGTCACTTGGGCAAGGATGACATAATTCTTACCAAGCAGAATGTTTGAACGAAGTAAGTGCTAAACATCAGATTATGGACAGTTTTTCAAACACGATTGTGTATTGTAGGCTTATGGCAAACATACATTTTCATTAAAATTATCATTTTACTTTGATTCCTAGTCATCTATTTAAAATACCACTTACCCAGTTTAAAAAAAAAATTAGCAACTTGCTCCTCTGCTGTAGATGTAATATAAAAATAAGCATTCCTGCCCTAACTGGTTTGGCTCAGTGGATAGAGCGTCAGCCTGTGGACTGAAAGGTCCCATGTTCGAATCTGGTCAAGGGCATGTACCTTGGTTGGGGGCACATCCCCAGTAGGAGGTGTGGAGGAGGCAGCTGATCGATGTTTCTCTCTCATCGATGTTTCTAAATCTATCCTTCTCCCTTTCTCTCTGTAAAAAATCAATAAAATATTTTTTTTAAAAAAAAGCATTTCTTATGTGCATAGGGCATAAAGTAGGCGTGGCCTAATAGTCAAGTACTCTTAGTCTTTAGTTACTGCCAGAAAGAAGGGCTCCATGTCTTGTTCTGTCGACCTCTGCTCAAATGTCACTTCTGACAGGCTTCCCCTCACCACCTTATCTAAAGTAGTTCTTCCTCTTCCATTTGCTGTGCTTCACACACAAGGTGGTGTGATCATGGGGGAGAAAACTTGGACTCTGAGCCCAGGTGGCTGAGATTCAAGTCTTGACTCTGCCACTGATTGTCTGAGGGACTTTGGGCCTTGGTCTCCTCATTTGTAAAATAATAGAACCCCTTCGTAGAGTGAGCTAATTCCAATGATAGTTATACACAGTGCCTGGCACCTGGTACGAGCTGAGTATGTGATAACTATAATTATCATCAGTGTTAGTGTTACTCCTTCATAGCACTTTTTATTCTCTGTAACTTTTTCAAGTTATTTGTTAATGTGGTTACTGTCTCTCAATATTGTAGGCCCCCATTAGCATGTGAAGTCCCGAGGGCCAGCATCTTGTCTTTCTGGTTTACCTTGGTCTCCTGAGGTTCTGG